GTGGGAACCGGTCCATGGGTGGGAACCAGTCTGTGGGTGGGAACCATCGCTCAGGGACCTGGTTGGATCATCCAGAGACTAACTGGTCCCTCTTTCTGTTTCAGTCCTCCTGCTCTGCCTCCTAAGAAGCGTCAGACACCACTGGCCCCTGTCCCCGCCCACTGCAGGGTTGCCATAGTTACACCAATGATACGGGAGCCAGAAGAGGATTCGGTGGAGGAGCAGGTATGATTTCATCTACAGAGCTTTAACGTGTCTGACTGTGTTACTGCTTTAAGCTCCTGTCACACATTGCCAATTTTTCCAGCGTCTGCCTGACGTCCCAGAATCTTCTAAACGCTGCCATAGGCTGACCTTTCTATGGATGTTCTCTATTCTGGGCGTAAACATGGAGTATTCATAACGAGTCCAGAACTTCTGTCCAACGACAGCCTAACTTATGCATGATTCAGAGTTTCAGTGTGATTCAAGGTGATTCAGCGTGCTTAAGCATGATTCAACGTGTTTTAGCCTGATTCAGTGTATTTCAGCGCAATTCAGCGTGTTTCAGCGTAATTCAACGTGTTTTATCCTGATTCAGTGTGTTTCAGCGTGATTCAGCGTATTTTAGCGTGTTTCAGTGTGTTTCAGCGTAATTCAACGTGTTTTAGCCTGATTCAGTGTATTTCAGCGCAATTCAGCGTGTTTCAGCGTAATTCAACGTGTTTTAGCCTGATTCAGTGTGTTTCAGCGTGATTCAGCGTATTTTAGCGTGTTTCAGTGTGTTTCAGCGTAATTCAACGTGTTTTAGCCTAATTCAGTGTGTTTCAGCGTGATTCAGCGTATTTCAGCGTGTTTCAGTGTGTTTCAGCGTGCTTAAGCATGATTTACCATGTTTTAGCCTGATTCAGTGTGTTTCAGCATGATTCAGCATGATTCAGCGTGTTTCAGTGTGATTCAGTGTTTAAGTGTGTTTCAGCGTGATTCAGCGTGTTTCAGCATGATTCAGCGTGATTCAAAGTGTTTCAGTGTTTCAGCCTGTTTCAGCTTGATTCAGTGTGATTCAGTGTTTCAGTGTGGTTCAGTGTTTCAGCGTGATTCAGTGTTTCAGCGTGGTTCAGTGTTTCAGCGTGATTCAGTGTTTCAGCGTGATTCAGTGTTTCAGTGTGGTTCAGTGTTTCAGCGTGATTCAGTGTTTCAGCGTGGTTCAGTGTTT